TCCTTTCTCAATCCCCACTGGGACAAGTTTCTTCCTGAAGGATCTGTGTTTGTTATTCAAAACACAATATGAAAGGTAATGATTTTTCTTATAAAAGGGAGTCAAAAGGACTGAATATTAATGCTCTCTTTATTGTGAGGGAATGAGCTGCATCAAAAAAAAACTTGCTTATGTCATGAAGGATAAATTACGCTGAAGTATATCTGATAAAATACAGGGAGGAAATCAGTGCAGTCTTTTTTCCTGAAGTGAAAGCAGTTTGCCAGTAGATAAAGGCACAAACCATTTTTGCTTGGAAAACTATTCAGATACAGAGAAAACCTGTTTACTTCATCAAGGGGGAAGTTGCTTTGCTACTGAGGATTTTCAATGACACTCTCTTGGCCAGCAATGTACCCTTTTGGATGCCCAACCTGATTTGACAGTTTACTTAAATAAGAGCAAATAGGAGGAAATACATGAAGTTTCTTTTCCTGGTCTGTTTTAAAAGATTTTTTCAAACTTGAAATTCACTGTTCAATGACCCTCTTTCCAAAAGGAGGTGGAGGTGCTCCTCTGCTGTTGGGTGTCTGGCCCAGCCAGCCAGCTGTGGCTGAGGCAGCTCTGCCCAGTAGTCGGTGATGGAGGGCAAAACGTAGGAAACCATCAAACAGTGCAAGAACTGCCTCTGCCCTTCAGAAACGATAGGGGATAAACGGAGCACAGCATGAAAAATAACCCAGGAACGATGAAGGTATCTCTTCCCCCCTTTACCTTTCAGTAAAGCCAGCCTTTTAGCCCATTTAAACACCAGGTTAAACTTGCTTTTGTGTGTTGCTGAGCATTACACCACACACTTCCTGCAGCACAGCTCTGTCATGGTGCAAGAGAGAAAAATGAAGAAAGGTTTAGAGCTTTACCAAGACTGAGGAATGCACTGGCTGATGTTGAGGATTCCTTAAGAGGAACCATGGGCTGTAATGTGACTACAGAAAAGAACTGCAAGGCTGACTTGCCGCTGGTATCTAGTTTTCAGTGTTAGATCTCTTGACTGAAAAGTTTCAAGAGATAATTGGATTTAGAATGATATTTAAGTGTGGTTTAGGACTACAAGGCCCCCTTTGCACACACCCAAACAGTCTTTGTGTGCACAATGCGTCTTGGTGTGGGTGAGGTTCTCCAGAACGTTGGCCAGTGAGGCTGTGTGGATAACATACACCTTTGTCTTTCAGCTGCTTTTGCAGGTACGATGGCTCGTGTCTTTGTCTATGGCACGCTTAAGAAGGGCCAGCCCAACTACAAGCACATGATCAACACAGCCAAGGGGCTAGCGAAATTCCAAGGACGGGGCCGCACTGTGGAGAAGTACCCGCTGGTGATTGCAGGCAAATACAACATTCCTTACATGCTGAACATCCCGGGAACAGGACACCACATCACTGGGGAGATTTACTCGGTTGACGACCAGATGCTGCAGTTCCTGGATGAGTTTGAAGGCTGCCCAGACATGTACCAGCGTACCCTGATGAGAATCGAGGTGGTGGAGTGGGAAGGGAAGGGTGGTGTGGGCGAGGCACGGGCAGCTGCTGAGGGCATTATAGAGTGCTTTGTGTACAGCACAACGACATATCCGCCCGAGTGGGTCGGCCTCCCCTACCATGACAGTTACGACTCTTCAGGGAAACACGGCCTCTCCTATGTCCTACGTGAAAGCCGGGATTAAACACAGGAGGTGATGCAGCCCGCCTGAAGACATAGTACTAAGCATGTGTTGATCAGTAACCTTCCCAGGAAAGCTGTAATACCTTGTCATTAAAATGCAGGATCTCTTGTAACCTTCCCAACCCAGGAGCCTTGGCGCTAGATTTGAAGTCTTGTAGACCCACAGATGGGGACTCCTGTCTGGCTAAGCCCGTGTCCTCACCACCGCTAACCTGCGAGTAACTGGGTTTGCATGAGGTGTAAAATAACTATCTGTGCACATCGGTTTTGTGGTCTAACTGTAAATTCTTAATTCCCTCCCCTTTTGCCTCAGTGCTTTGACAAATGTTCTTGTGTAGTTCTCCAAGGTGGGTGGAATAACAATGATACGATTGCACTAACAGCTGAAACTGATTTTAAAAAGTCGTGTCTGCAAGCAAACTGAAGCACAACTCATGTTTAATGTTGACTTGTAATGGTGTTTAGTAGGTTACTGAATGTAAACCAGGAGAGATGACAATATAGGTACTATGCACTTCAAGACAAATACGAAATGGCTGGAGAAATAGAGAACATTTAAAGACTATTCTTACTCTGTATTGCAATGTTCTTCTGAACTGGAAAGGAGTATTTTTAAAACCTGTTTAGTTTTATAAGGTACTGTGAAAAAGTACTAAGAGCGCATAAGAAAATTACATTTAAAATCATATTTTAAATTTAGCATCCTAAGCACTTTAGGTACCACTTCAGTTCAGAGTGACTGTAGGGGTTGGGGAGGTGGGGGTGGGTGGAGGGGTGTTGGGGACCAGGAAAAGCAAACCTATTTTCAGCTGCCCATCATGCTATAGCAGATGCAGCTGTTGCAAACATTTAACTATCAAGGTGACTTTTGACAAGCACTTTAATGCAGAACTTACTTGCAACCATATGCAAACTGCATTTCCTACCGAGGGAAAGATTTTCTGTGCATGATATAAAACATCCAAAGGACCTGTATGGTGATTATTGCAACATTTAAACAGGGGAAAAAAAAGATGGAAAGATGACTGTTGTCCCCCTGACCCAACCAACTGTGCTGGTTTCTGTACAATCTGGGGAAATTGTAGCTTTCTGTTGTTACACTGTTGTGCCTTGTATTTTCCTTCAACCGCAGTGTTTGGTACATACAGATTGTAGAGTATACAAAGCTGCCAAAAGGATGTGAGCAGGGAATGCATGCCATGCAGTGAGCCAAAGTACAATGAAATGTACTAAGGATATCATTAAGAACACTACTGTACTTTTGCTTGACTGCCAGTAGCCCTGTGATGGCCAGAGGAGGTCCGGGATAAGGAATCAGCCTGAACTTTATCAGTAATAGGCACTGCTGCATCTCATTTAAGTAACAGACAGAAAGCTTGTGTTGTTGCAGTAACAACTTAAGCAATTTTAAGGTAGAATACTTGTGTCTCTTCGCAATACTTGGGTTTTGTTTAGGGCAACCTGCAGAAGCTGAACTGTGCTCCTTTTGGAAAGGGCAAGATGGCATTAAGGAGATTGGTAGGAAGATCTACAGGGTGTCTGCCTCAGTTTTTCCTACTGCAAAAGCATTAATTTTCCTGAAGGGCAGGTACTACTCACTCTTCCGTACTCACCTTGATGGGTTTTGTGACCTAACAAAGCAAGTCCCTGCACTACATTATTTCCCCTTGGCCATGTGGTACTGTTCGCAGTGTCTCAATAATGTGCAAGATGTTTCTTCAGTCAGAAGTTCCAAGCAGAATCACAAATGTTCCTGGTTATACATAAATCACCAGCCCTGTCACAGACTGGTTTTGTCCTTCTGGTAAGGCCCAGGTGCCTCTGGCCAGAGGGGGTTTCTCTGGGAAGCATCATGACTCTGCACAGCTGAAGCAAGAAAATGAGAGCAGGAGGTACGTTAAAAAAACAGCTGTAGAAGGTGAGACCAAAGGCAGGAGCAGCCCAGTGTCCTGGCCCAGCATGGGCAGCAGCAGAGGCCTAGGCAAGAGCACAGGGACAGAGACGATGCTTACAATGTGCAGGGATTGCAGAGGTATCACTACATCTAGTGAGCTGCAGCTGCTGAATTACTGAGCTAAATCAATTAATGGAAGAAAAAGACTTTCTTAACCACACGCTAACATTTTGAACCCAGTAAACTTCTGGTATCTTCACCATCCTGTGTTATGGAGCTCCTGAGTGAGCAGTAAAAAAAAACAACCCATGTTTTCTTACCTATTCTGACCAAGTCACCAGCCCTCTCACTTCTGTTTAAGTCAAGTATTCAATCTTCCTCCTCTGCAGGCCATCTCTGGTTTCCCACACTGGATACACTGCTCTTCCAGCTGGATACTGTCTTGTATTATGAACAGTTCTAGTTCTTCACACAGTCTTTAGTAAGAGCCTCTGCACAATAAAAGATCAGGCACTTGGTCTTCCTTTCCTGTTTAGGAGGAAGGTTGACCAGAGGGACAGCAAATGCATCCAGCTCTACCTTGGGGTGGTTAAGGGAATTCAAAGACAGTGCCAGCTCCTTCTGTAAAGACTTGCATCGAATAATCATAGAATCATAGAATAGTTAGAGTTGGAAATGACCTTAAGATCATCTAGTTCCAACCCTCATGCCATGGGCAGGGACACCTAACAACAGACCATGTCGCCCAATGCTCTGTCCAACCTGGCTTTGAATACTGCCAAGGATGGAGCATTCACAACTTCCCTGGGCAACCCATTCCAGTGCCTCACCACCCTCACAGTAAAGAACTTCTTCCTTATATCTAAGTTTAAACCTATTAAACTTAGATATATACTTAGATATAAACTTAGACCTATAAACTATATCTAAGTTTAAACCCATTACCCCTTGTCCTACCACTACAGGCCCTGATGAAGAGTCCCTCTCCAGCCTCCTTGTAGGCCCCCTTCAGATACTGGAAGGCTGCTGTGAGGTCTCCACACAGCCTCTTCTCCAATCAATAGAAAAAAGATAAAGGAGGGGGGGGGGGGGGTGGTAGGGATCTGAGTATGGAGCCAACTGTAAATGAAAATACACAGGGAAAGTTGGCACTAGCAAAATAAAACATCCAACGTGTGAGTCAAATCTAGTTTATACAAAGGCTTCAAAATATAACAGTAAACCTGATCAGAATTTAGAGCATTGGCTGTACTTGCTCAGCGCTTACATAGAGTGTAGGAAAGCTGCTCAGTTCACTTGGTGGTTATTTTTTCACTCCCACCAACCATTCTGTACTGTTTGGCTGGGGCCTCAAACCAGTGATGTTACCACTGAGAAGACAAATCGGATTTGGGCTTTTGTTATGTTTTCTTTTTTTAGAAAGAGGCTTTTCCTGTTTTAAAGCAGAAATGGTATTTTATTGATTTTATCTGATCCTGAAAAAATCAAAGAATTACAAAGGTTATGTACAAGTATTTCTGGAAGTAAAAATCTGGGATCTGTTGCCAAGGTTTAACATCTGTGTTTGCTGTCTTAACCACTGATTCAATAAATATGTATGTATAAAACCTTGTGCGTAGGACTGTCCATTTTCTGTGTTGAATTATCTTAATCTTACTTTGTGGGTGAAAATAATAAAGGCTTAGCTAATTCAACACTGTGGAGGCAACACGTCATTCCAGTTCCACCAGCAGATCTCCTTCTCCAACGGTATCACCAGCTTTGCAGTGCACAGCTTTCACCTGCGGTACAGAAACAGGAACAATTTCAAACTTCCCTCAATAGCATGGTTGAATAAATGGTTTGGTTGACATTGCTCATATAGAGTATCACATCTGCATGCACAGGGTAAGTGGCCACTGCAACATTATGACCGTCATAGGGATCGCAGATGCCCGTACGTTGGAAGGGCCTCAAGAGGCTGACATCTCAACCTCTAGTGTTCAGAGTCCAGCTGAGCTTTGAGTATCTCTGAGAATGGAGACTCCACAACCTTCTCCAGTGCTTGGCCAACTCATGTCAAACTCCATCAAGGGATTTAGGCATCTACTACTAGCTGGTTTTTTTATGACTTGGGAGCTGGAAGACCTGAATGTCAGGTGGAGATGGCACTTAAAAATTACAAGGTATCCTTCTTCCACCTGTTTGCACTACTGTTCGTTTACTACTGAAGCTTAAAATCCTTTATTAGAGGACAGGCTGACTCTTCAACACTCACACTTGTGTTTCAATTAAATATCCCAGTATTTCTTGCATGACAGATTTTAAATACAACTGAATTTTGGGACCGAAACCATGGAGTGGGAGTCCCTCAATCCCTGGAGCACTGGGATAGATTGATTCAAACTGAACCAGGATCCTTTAACATAACTGAACTTGGCAAAGGCCCACCACTGTCAAATAAATGCAGCTACATCTGAAGACAACTTACATACTCATGTGCAGATTCCTGAATTTTAAAACAGGAAAATCTTACGCTATTCCCTCATTTCCTCTATAAAAGGCTGCAACATGTTTGAACTCCCTTTCAGCACACTGGAGCTCCAGAAGTTACTTGAAGCTGTATAACAGACTTTACTTGCAATATTAATTCAAAGCTCACACTGAAATGCCCAAATCCTTGTTCAAAACCTTGTTCAGCAGTTAGCTCCATTTAGTCACCCAAACATTACCTTGGACTCCTAAAAGAAACCTGGAGGATACCCAAAATACCAGGCTAATATTCCCCATGTCCAAGTTAGTTTGATAGCCTAAAGCCACATGAGCTGTAAGCGTATCTCTGGCTCTGTAGCATACTCATAGCATTACTCAAGAAATGAAGCTGGATACCGTACGTGGGCAAAGACATGATGTACAAAAAAGGGCTTTATTTCTACATCAACAGTAGGCAGCCTACCTGATTCCTCAGCAGTGTGGAAAATATACTACTTCTTTCATTTCTTTATCTACAAAGCCAATGTTCAGCAAACCCTGTGGCTGACCAGTGCTTCAAACTCCCCAGTGGTTTGTGACATTCCTTGCTCTGACCCACGCACAGCTGTCCCGGAGGAGACTGGAGGCACAACAGTCCCTCCTCATCTTTCCCTCACTTTTAAACCACCTGCAGCTGGATTGAACTCAAAGTAGACAAAAACAAAGCACTTTTCTCACAATTATAAACAGGAAGATGGGGTTTGATGCAGAAAAGGAATTCAGCCAGGAATGAAAATGGGGACAGCTTCCAGCTGAAGACAAAGGAACTGAGTTTCAAAACATGGTTTCAGGGCATCAAAATGTAGACTACCAGCCAGTGCCAAACAACCCATTCCTGTGGAGGAGCCAAGTTATTTTGGCGCTCAGAGTCATGACTTTGCACTGCAAAATGGGATGAATCCTGTTTAGCAGCTTCATCTCTACACAGCCCAAAACTTGTTTGCCTTTTCAAATTGTTAAAATTCTAAAGAATCAAATTACTGTTAAAATGCAGACACCAAGGGGACATTGCAAGGTGCATATTGGGCCTACTGAATGGCCTGTGCACCATTCACATCCCATTTTGAAGGATTACTAATCCAAACATGGGGTTTACATGGCATCCGTATAGAACGAGTGGGTGATATTTATTAATGGGAGAAGTACAAGCAGAATTTTAAGGAACAGGTCCACAGGTTACAGCACACCCTGATGGGAATGGGAAAGTTAAAAAATAAAAGGGAGTGGGTGGGAGAGGGAATGGCATTTTAATTACAAATACTCCCTAGTTAACAGCAGTGAATGCAAAAAGGCAGCAGCAAGGGGTTAAACAAAAGAAGCAAAGAGGAAAAATTAAATTCTGGGAAATATTAATCAAGTGAGAAAATAAATTATATAGGAATTAATGCATGAAATAAACCCAGAAAGTGGCAATGCTAGAGTGACAGGATAAGGTACGTCCTCCCTCTCTCTGCAATTCTTTCCCTTGAGACCCAATTTTGCACTAGGTACACTGGAAGAGGCAAGCCCTGGGTCCCAGCCTCAGGGACGATGTTAGTGCTGTGCCAAATAAGCCTTTCCTGTAAACACACAAACAGTCCTTGGCATAAGAGAGCCATCCTGAGATCTCAGCGAATCTTGCCAGTGGCCGACCTTGTCCCTGCCCTGGAGAGCCAGGCTCCTTGCTGCCTCCCTCCGGGATAAGGGATCTTGCACTGGGATTTGTTCTGCTGTTTTTAATAGCAAAATGGCAGCGCTTCAAGGAGAGCAGAGGGGCTTGACCCCAGGGAAAGAAGGGCCGGGGCAGGTGAGGAAATACTACACAGAAGAGAATTCATAATCCAGATCCAGACCCTGCTCTCCATTTGAAAAGGATGTATCAGGGGCCCATGTCTAAGTGATGGTTTCAGGCTGTGAATTATAACCTGGCACAGGGATGCTCTGAGGCCCTCACATGAGGGCTGACAGTCCCCAAAACCAGATGGGGTTTAAGGCATATCCTTATCATGTAATCTTAAACAGTTCCCTGCCCAGAGCACTGGTTTTGGTACATCCTGCACTGCAGGAGAGTCCCAGGTCAGGTCTGCAACGCGGATCCCTCAGAAACAAGGTATCACAATACACAGCCTTGCAAAGCTTAACACATCTTCAGATCTAGGCTTCTTATTTAACAGCCACAAATAACGAACAAATTGTTTCATTTATCTTCCTGCAAAAGCACTTTCTATGCCTCATTCTAAGTGGTTTTTTTAATGTCAAATTGTTTGCCGTTAATGAATTAGCTGACATAGAGATCTCCCTTCTTTCCATTGCTCTCTGGAAAGATGGAATGTGGAGAACCAGTCTGCAACACCTTTCAGTTCAACTTAGCACTGTAACATAGAATCATAGATAACAAACCTTTTAGGGGAGAAAGACTTATCTGAATTTCTGAAGCCAGTAAAACTATTTACTGCTGTGCTAGCTAAGGCTCAGAACTACTTAAAACAGCATTCACAGCAGATCCAAATGTTAAAAATTAATGACAACTCACTTTGAGAGACTTACAACAATCAGACTTAATTCCTTAACAACCAGAATCCTCCTTTCTTCCTTTTTAAATCCTATCCTACTTGACAAGCTGCATATGGTTTAAGAGACCCAAGGTAGCTTACCTTGCCTGTTTTAGCAGCGGTCATACTGTTCTGCATTTTCATTGCTTCAATTACACAAATCTCTTGACCTTCTGAAACCTGGTAAAATTCAAGTGGTACAAAATGAGGATAGAGGATTTAAAACGCTCTAAGTGTGTATGATTCTTCTGGAAAATAAAGGGATTATTTCATTAAATGCTATACAGACTCTGATGGCGTAAGTCAAGGCAGCCAGCTACACAGTCATGATACAGACCACAATCACAAAAGGCAACTGCTTTCGCCAAAACCAGCAGAAAAATAGGGAGAAAGGAATCATACTTAAAACTACCACCCCAGACAAACCACATACCCACCACAGATCAACATCAATTAAATCCAGAGCAAAATTTGATTTGTGCAGGTTTGGCTGGGAAGCCTTTGCTTTGCTTCCCTGGTGCAGATCCCACAGATACTAATCCTGATTCAGAAGCCAAAAGTTCCTTGGCAGGTGTCTGGGGAGCATGGACTGGAAGCTCCAGTATTACCCAACGTGCTAATGCTGAGCAGAAAGTCACACCTCTGCACCTGGCAGCATCCAGATGATAGCTGATGACTTCAGACTAATGGAAGGGAGCACGCCTGCAAGGAACCACCACCTCTCATCCACAGGGAGGGATCACGGAGGCAAAACCATCCTTTTCACCACAGCTCTTAAAAGGAAACACTTGAGTTTCCTCTTTCTGCTGGCTTGCACTCTGCAAACAGGCATGGAGAAGCTCCAGGTCACCAGTAACCCACTGGGCTGCTCTGCTGGGCTCCCTGCGTGCCCAGTCAGATCCTCCTTCCAACACCTTGGGACTACACTGTGCAGAGGAAAGAGCCACGTGAAGCTTTAGAGTGTCAGGGGGTGGGGGGAGCCACCTATACATGAGGCGAAAACCACGGGTCTCAGGCTTTATCCCTCATGTAACCCAGCGATCAGGCAGTCATCCCATGAAGATGATGGATGCCAGAGAGGGAAGGGCATGGGGCCCTCCATGCCAGTATTTCAATAGGACTTATGCAGGTACACCCTTCTGGGGTGCCTGGCTCCAAGTGCCCACTGCAAGTCTTTTCATTGGGGTTTAGCAGATGTAGCCTGCCATTCACTCATCATCCCAGCAAATTTGGGATGCTTTCATTCTGATGTTAAAGTTTCATTAAAGAGGGTAATTTGAGAGCTGCAGAGATCTGGTTTGTTACCAGAGTTTGCAACTTGTCTGTTTGTTATATGTGCCAGCGCCCTCAAAATCTCTTTGTTTATATGCATGCATACAGATGCATTTCTCTAATATATGTAAAATGAGTAATACATATTTAGTGACAAGTGTGTACCACTTTGGAGGAATATAATGTCCAACAGGAAGCTGTGGAGTCAGAGATCAAATGCACATTCTGAAAATCAAAAGCTTTTTTGATAAAGCATGCGCTAGCAATGACTGAAAAGCATTGATACCTGCCTTTGGATTCAGAGCAAGACTGAAGAACAGACATTATGTTAAAAGGTGTTTATGCGCCCTTTCTCCAGCAGACTGCTGGAGCAGCAATATGACTGGCTTTTGGGGGTAAATAAGAAAAGCGCTTGCTCTGGGAACACGCTGTACTAACCGGATACAGAGAATATGCAACACCCAACACTTCACCTGCAGAAATTCCATCCTGAGCTTCAGGTGAGCACTTAAGTCATTAGCAGTGTCAAATTCAGTGAATAGTACCAGAGATTTGTTCTTTGTCTCCAGTTACTTCCCCTCTATTCCCTTTCCCCATCTTTTGTCTCCTTCCTTTCACACCTGCTGCTCTGCCCGTAGCCTTGTCCAAATAGCTTGTTCTTTCCTTCCTTGCTTCTTTTCCTCCTTCTCCCTGTCTCGCTGCTCATGTTTTCTTCTATCTGCTCTGAACTTCTCAGACATTTATGTGCTTAAGAGGCAGCTATGAATATCTACTTCTGTTAAGAAACAACAACAACAATAGTAATAAAATAAAAAGCCTGTTGGAGTTTTGAGGGTTTTTTAATAGCCTATTTCAGAAACACATCTGACACCCTCTGGTTAAAACTCAGCTATCAGAGCACCAAGAACATGGGCCTCTAAAGTTTGCTGAAGACTGAGATGCTAAGGAGTGCAGATCTGAACTGAGTAGCCTAATTTCAAGGGCACAAGAAAATCTTCTTGAGCCCCAGTGCAATTCAGCTGTAACATGGCTTCATCAGGTGGATGGTGTGCAAATGAATCAGTTAGCAATTACCTAAACATAGTTCCGAAAATACATCTGCTGGGAAAGTATGGCATTGTCTCTAGGTCTAGCACTAAAATGCCAGAAGTATTAAGTGGTTGTGAGATGGCGATGTCCATGAATCTGAATTTCTCCTCACGTTCCCTCCATTTCTCAAAACCAAAGTTTTTGTGTTTTACGTAATACCTGCTGGGTTGATGACAAAGGAAGCCTGGGAAGGAAATACCCCTCCTCAACCCGCAAAATATATAGACAAAGTATCCAGTTAATATCTAGTCTCACTAATTTGAAGGAAAGAGGCACTTTCCACAGGTACCACGTGTGAAAATGCTGTGTCAGCACTTCTGATGATGTGCTATTTGTTGAAAATTGCCTTGGTGAAAGTGTCACTTAAGCACAGAAGTTCAATTACTGTTCTTATGTTAAACCTTTACAGTTCCCCTCATTATGTTGCAAAGCGACAAATCCTAAAATTAGGCACTTGTATCTCTCTTTTCTCTTTTTCAGTCTTTTGGGCATTGTCCAATTTCTTTCATTCCACAATTGCACATATCCTTTTGCCTGTTATTTAGCCTGCAAATTAAAATCACAGCGATGTGTACAAGTTCTTGCTTTCTAACCTATTTAAGGATTTATCTGGACCATTTGTAATGCAGCATTTTCATCATATAATTTATTTCTTTCAGTAGATGGTAAACCAGTGTAAACCATCATCTTTACATTTCAATTTAGAGAGGTCTCAGTGATGACCTGAATCTGTCAAAACAGGCAAATAAAATCAAACAAAACATCTGATTGATTGGAACCGAGTGAAATAAAAGGACTCCTTTTCTTAAAAGAAATTAAACTCAGGTATCTCTCTCACAGAGTTGTGCTACAGACAGATCTTCTCTAACACTGCTTAGAACAGTAAAATAAATGAGTGATTAACTGTCAGACCTGCAGTCTGTATTTTAGTAGCTTGCTTCTGCGTGGTGCAGTTCAAAGTAGCTGTTCAGTTTTGTTCTCCACAGAGTGAAAAGGAACAATAAAAAGAAAAAAAGAAAGAAAAAGAGGAGGAAAAAAAAAAATCATTGAACAGGAGGGTTCTTAAGATCTCGATGTTACTAACATCGATGATGTGAATTTGGGAGCCCTCAATAGCACTGTGTGAATAACACAGGGACTGCATGGTGGTTGTTATCTGCTCTGGACAAAAGGTTACACATGGGACAGGGAACTGTGTCCAGTCATTTCCCAGCCAAGCAACTCACAACACGGGGTGGAAGCAGAATCTGAGAAGCCGCAACCCTGAAGAGTTTTCATTTCAGCATAAAGACAAACTGCACTTACAGATAGGTCCCTTTAAACCTCAGAAACAGCAAAAGACAGCGCACACCCCAGGGCATCGCTACCACAGGATGGATCTTTGTGAATATGGTACACTTTCCTCAGACTTTTGTGCATCATCTGATGAAGACTTAATGATTGTGACAGGACATCTTCAATGTTAGGCTTACAAAATGGTCACAAGCCCCGCAAGTCTTTCTGATAAACCCAATCGGTGCTGATGTATTTCCCGGCTCTCTGTCTAATTGGTGTAAAGTTTGCAGATCTGAATCCCCTATCTTTTATCCAGCTTGCTGCGTCCTCTCCTTTGACATGAGGTCAGGGTTCACATTCGCATCCGATTATCGAAGTGGCACTCATTAACCGGCAGCCTGCCTCGCACCAAAATGAGTTCGCTGGAAGGGGAACTCAGCCCATTTACTCAGCAGATTTCAGCATTTTAAGGAGGCCTGAATGTCACACAGTATTGCTACGTTTTGAGGAGTTTCAGACATCTCCAGCTGATGATTAATTGTGAGTGATGGGAAATAAAATCCAGTAAAGCCAGCTGCTTGCCATGGTCGGCAAAATTACTATAATGGATATAGGCTGCCAATTTTCCAGTTTTACTGGCAAGTCTTCCAAGTGTAATTAAGGGAAGTTATAAATGATATGGAAATCTATCAAGTCCCATTTATTTTCAGAGGACTCTTTCCCCTGAGACTTTTATCTTCAAGCTTATAGTTTGCTTTGTTGTGCTAATGATTTAAACCATTTCTTATTTCTGATTAAAACCCCCAATATCCTTCATAAGAAGTTAGATCCACTTTATTCAGAAGGATTTAAAGAAACAGAAACCTTTTTCAAAGTTGTGTTTGTAACCATGCTGAGCTCTCGCTTCCTCTGTGGAGGCGTAACAGAGCATCCTCCATCTTAGGCACCTTGTTACCATTTGGATTTCTGCTTCCAACAGATTTTGGGGATTGGGAAAGATCTGAGATGGGGAAAGAAGGGAAAAGAGAGAATTAAAAAAAAAAAAAATTTAAAAATACACCATCAACAAAACCCCAACTTCCCTCTAAATCCTCCATAAACAAAGATCGTAGGTGCTGCCTTTAAACACTAGGCATTTAGCACAGGGTGGTGTTGCTCACTAATGCTGTTTGATTTGGAATAAAAGCATGAAAATGATGTGCAAAGGCCTAAAATTGGAGATGTAAAGGATGACTGCACAGTATTCCATTTCTCAATTTCATCCTTCAGAGCCACAAAATGGGGGTGATACAGTTACTGGATGAGATTTACAGTAACAGCTGTGGTCTTCCCACACAAGGGAGGACCTTCTAATGGGCTAAGGTCTGTTTTGAACAGACGGGGAGTAGCAAAACAAGGTTCCCTATTAAGGGTGTGCAGTAATATTCCTGATAAAGAAAATGAGTAGTAGTAGTCTGATTGCTTTAAAAGACCTAAATCTCCTTTCACTGTCAAAAATAAAAACAGAAAAAAAAAAAAAAAAAGAAAAAAAAAAAAGAAAAAGG